GAAAAAAGGCACATTAAGTTGGGTTTCCAATGATGGTCAATTTATAATAATCGATGAAAAAGGTTATGAGTTGTGCTAAGTTTTATAAAAATATAGCATATTTCTTCCATACAAAAACGTTCATGTTTCTGGTTTTCTTTGTAACAAGTTTAAAAAATGTTTATAAACATTTTTATACAAAAATTAATTTGTATGGAGAAAACCAAAAATTCGAGGAACATGCTATTAGAAAAATTGGCATATATCATCCAGTTTTTCATAGATTTTTATGAAATAACAAGTTTTAGAAACCTTCCTTCATGTGATTCTTCAGGAAAGTAATAAAAGATGAACTCACTGCCTCATGGTCAAAGTAGAGCATGATGAAAATGAAAATTTTTTAAAAAAGTGTGAGTTTTTTTACTTTAACGACCGTAACTCAGACATTTGACCATAAATTTTGGATTTCTTTTTTTGGATTAAAAGACACTTGTATCATTAAAAAAAAAAATCGGATTTGAAAATCGGATGAAAACTACTAAACTTATGATTTTTCAAATTTAAAACTTCAAAAATGGCTCTTTTTCGCATCTTTTGCTCTTAAAAAGTAAGTTAACGAAGTGATAGGGGAAAACTAAAAATATATTCGTACTCTATGGACTATAACGAAATAGAATTGGTATATGAGAACGCCTGCATTTTATTTTTCTTCACTTTTGTATCACAGTGTTATTTATAACAACTAGAGTTCGCCCAGCGGTCGAAATTCGACCAGAACCAATGCTGGAAAAATTGTATGAATGTGTAAAATAAAACCATATTTTTGTAGTTCAAATCTGTGGTAAAAAAATAACTTTATTGATATTATCAAAGTGTATAATTTGCTTTGATTAATGTTTTCTTTTAGAAAATGTGATGGGTTTTAGTAAAAGTCCCATCAGAAGTTTAAAACCTCAATTGTTAAAATTAGGTATACAACTTGTTTTACAAAAGTATTTCAACTATTTTAAAAATAAAAAATAACGAACATTTCTTCTATCGAGTTATTATCCCCTACATATTTACGCTACGTTCACAATGCTGGAGTACTCTACTGTACACACCAGTAAAGAAATGTTAGCTGTTCAAAACACTTAGTGGAAATGTTCTAAATAATTTGTCAAAACAATAAAAATATTTAAAATAAATAATGTCTTATCTAATTATAAATAAATTTTATTTGGATGTCATTAGTAGTCCATCCATCAGGTATATGCTGTTTACAGCATATACCATCCATCAGGTATATGCTGTTTAAATTCTCCCTTATAACACTCGACAAAGACTTCAGCAGACCTACATTTATTAAATTTTAATGTCTTCTAATAGAATTTAAAAGTAGATATTCTATGAGGTCTTCTAATGGGCCTTCTATTAGCCTTCATATAGGAGCGCATAACGATATGCATTGGCATATCCAATTACACACTGATTTTGTATATGCATAAGAAGAATTTAACGCCTTAATTTTTCATATATTTTGTAAGTACTGTTTGAAAGAAAACATTAATTAACTATAAATTTCAGTCTTTTGCTAATATATGCAAGTTTAATAGCAAGTAAATGAATAATAAACGTAAATAAGTACGGTTAAACACTCTTCATCCCAAAAGACATGATTTATATTTAGCAGTTTTATCTATTTTTATAAAGCATATAACCATCACCTATTCAACTTACAGTTTTCACTTTACACTACTATTTCCTAATTGGTTAGAATAACCCAAAAACGAAAAATATCATCAAATCCTCCCTGTGCTAAACCTGCATATAAGCGATATACATATCCATTTATTGCGGTATGTACCGGCATGACCAACTAAACTTTACTTATATTTTTTACAGGCTTTTTTTATTACTTACTGACACTGAATCAATTCATTAATCCATCATTTAAATCATCAAAATCAATCAAAACTAATAATTATGTACCACAATTCAGTATTTTATTTCACCGATTTTTTTTTGTTAAACATAACCGAAAAGTATCGGCAGTGTAACGACCAATAAAAAGTTCACGTTAATAATTTTATATTTTAAAAATATTTCAATACATAACTTTTGACATTCTTGTATTTTTCCAATCTTTGTCTTTAAAATATTATACGGTCGTTAAAAAGTTAGGGAATTGAAAATTCGTTAATGTAACCGATATTTGTCATTACTTTACGATATCAATACTTAAAATTTAAAAAATTACTGAATTTCCGTACTAATGCCCTACCAATATTTTTCCAGGTCAAATACGAATATCAGTACATTGTTTGACATATCTTCAGGTGTCCCCAAGCATTATTTACACATCTTTTTATATTCCCAGTTCGTTGTTTCCTCGGGAATGTATATATAAATATGAATATAAAACTGAAGTCCTAATTCTTATAAAAATATTCCTTTCGATTTGGTAACAATCGTAACTATATTATAACAAAATAGATCATTATCTCATTCACAATTTAGCACTTTACACAAAAATATAAAACAATAAAATCCTATTTTCTCTTTGCCTAAGCTTGTTTACATACATATTTGTTTACAAAAATCTTATTAAAAACAACAACAAAAACAAATATCATGCAAAATACAAAAAGAAAACGGTAACAGAGAAGTTAAACGTTTCTGCACTCTCCTCTCTTTTTTTAAAAAAGTAAACAACACGGTTTACTTTTTTGTTTTGTTTCTTGCTTTGTTTGTTTGTTTTTAATTTCAAGAATACGTACGTGTGACTATTGTTTCTATGTATTAGTAACAACTTTAAACGCTTATAGCTCGTAAAATTCTGAACCGATCTCATTAATATATATATTGTGCACATCTGCGAACAAATACCTTTAAAATGATATATTTTTTGCCAAGATCAGATGTATACTGTAAGAGTAAAAGGGGTCACAAAAAATCGTCTTGCCTATTAATTATATAGATAAGATATCAAAATATGTATGGGGGTCCGTGAAATTAAATAAATTCCTCAAGGGGTCCGCGAAGTAAAAAATGGTGGGAACCGCTGCTTTAGATGATCCTTTGACCCTTTAGAGGAAATTTGTTTGGAAAAAATTGTTTATAGAACCGAACAAATATGTATTTGTAATTCAATGGCTTAATCAAAATATTGCTGGAATTAGTGTCCGTCGCAAATAAAGGATTTTTATTATTAAACCACAACAAAAGATTTTGTTAAATCTTTTAAAGAAATATTTCTTGTTTGATCCCTATAAGCAAGGGAGACAGAAGTAGTGTGGTCACAAATAGCAAAAGTGCCTTATTTTTATTAAAGCTTAAAAAGTTAAGATAGCTTTCTTTAGTTTTACTATAATTTTGTTAAACTTAATTTTACACCTGAAATTTAGCTAAAAGCTCTTTTCGATAAAAAGCTCTTATTGCTGAAAGCTTTTAACGCCCATCTTTAAAAGAAAATAAACTTACTTTTTGTATTTTTATCACATTAAAACAAGTTTTGACAAGTTTTTTTTTACAAATTTTTCTGAAGTAATAAAGCTTTTCAAGTTAATGTCGATTTTGAAAAGCTTTACGATTTTATTTAAGTTCTTAATATAAAAATCTTTTTTATAGATTGATAGCTTTCAATTTTAGATCTGAAATTTAGCTAAAAGCTCTTTTCGATAAAAAGCTTTTATTGCTGAAAGCTTTTAACGGCCAGGTTTAAAAAATAAACTTACTTTTTGTATTTTTATCACTTTAAAGCAAGTTTTGACAAGTTTTTTATATAAAGCTTTTTCTGAAGTAATAAAGCTTTTCAAGTTAATGTGGATTTTGAAAAAAAAATATATAAAATAAAGCTAATTTATAGTTAAAACTTGCATTTTGTTTTACAAAGAGCTGTTAGCAAAGCTTTTTGAAAAAGCTTTTGAAGTGAAATTTAAAAAATAAAGCTTTTGAAGTTAAAATGGATTTAAGAAATGTTATAATTAGCTTAGATTTAGGAATGATGCACTTATATTTAATGATTTTGTAAAAGCTTTTTTTAATATAAAAAGCTTTTAAGAAACTAAATATGCTTTAACAAAATCTGATGGAATTAAAATAATTTTAGTAATAAACTTTCGAATTCTAGGGCTAGATAAACAATTTTGCACCAAATAAAGTTTTTGATAGAAGCTTTTAAAGCTGAAAGCTTTTATAATTCAAGATTGAAGACCATTTAAAAAGGATATGAAACACATTTGTGATATTTGATCAAGATATAGCAAGTTTTGACACGGTCTCTAAATAAAGCTTTTCTGTAACTAATTAAGCTTTTCGAGTTAAAACAACAAACAAACAAATTTAAATTTGTATTTCTACATGAAAATTCTAAAGTGACCAAAACTTTTTAAAGCTTTTTGGTTTATAAAAAGCTTTTACGGGAAAATATATATTTTCGATATTATTTCTGAACTGAAATTCTTTAAATTAATAATATTTTAAAAAAGTTTCGCAAAAGCTTTAAAATTTCGAAAAAGCTTTTGAATATTTTTTTTTAATTTTGTAGAAGTTTTATAAAATCATTATATTTTAAACATTTTTTATAAAAGCTTTTGAACTCGCATAGGATTTTGTGATTTTTGTTAAACGAGCTTTCTTTCAGTTTTTTAAGAAGCTTTATTATAGAAATTTATAGAAAAATTTATAAAGCTTTTATGCTATCTTTTATAAAATCTTAACATGAAACAAAAGTTGTTTACTAAAGATATTTGTGGAAGCTTTTGACTTTACAAGGACTAAATAAAGCCTTTATATGTAAAATCCTTTGTATAAAAAAGTCTATCCAGGATTATTCTCCTTTACATTAAAACTGCCCACAATTTTATTACAAATCTTTTTACAACCTAATTATAACAGAATATTTTATAGCTAAAACCCCATAAAGCTTTTTGTCATATAAACCCAACAATAATGAACATTTTATATATAAATAAAACCCCTAAACTATTTAAAGAATATACAATAAAGTTCCATTTCAGTTATTTTTTTTTAACACTTACCAGCTTGAGCTAATAATGGCAACATTATAAATGCCAGTAAAACTGGCAAATATATTTCGAGTCCCATGGGACTCGAACGCTTTCTTGTCATCTTGTTGTTGAAACCTGTAAAATAAGAAAAGAAATACAAATAAAAATTAGTAAATAATATTCTCAGCTAAATGTTAAAATAAAAAAATAAGGAAATTATTAAGAACTAATATAAAAAAGAAATGGTGCCGTGTTCTCAATTTTCTATACAGAAAGGACACGTGCTAATGTTAATACAAAGTAAAGACACGTGTATAATATTAAAGTTATTAAGGAATGTTTTGTGATTTTATTTTTCGATTACTCCTCCCCCTCTTCTTCTATTTTTACAATTATAATAAAAATTAAGTTTTATTTATTTAGTTGTCATTGTAATAAACAATAACAACGCTTTAGTTATTTGTCATTTTGACAGCTGTATAAGTTTTTTTCTTTTGTAAAATTAAATTTATTGTTTTAAATGTCTTGTTAAAGAACAATTAGAGCAAATTCCTAGTAAATGTTTATTATATTGTTGTCAGGTTTTGTTGTTTATTGCTGTAGTTGTCAAATTAAGTTTAATTTAATAAAGACATTTTTGTATTTATTGTTTTAAGCTAAAAAAAGCTTTCCTATGATTTTATAGGAAGTTTTTTGCCTTAAACTTTTAGGTTTTATTACATAGATTTATAAAACCTATAAAGCTTTTGCTCTTAAAGATTATTTGTCTTAAACTTTTAAGTTTTATTACATAGATTCCCAAAACCTATAAAGCTTTAACTCTTAATATAAGGTACTCTTCATTATTTAAAACATAAATCTTAATTCTATCAACTTTGTTGCTTTTAAAAGCTCACCTCTAGTTTTAATGACTTTGGCTTAATTTCACACCTTGCAACCTCATTTCAGAGTTAATCTTTAGCAATTCTTCTGCAATTTACTTGACCACAAACCTATTTCTTTATCTCTACGTTTTGCATCTCCACCACTCAAAGTGGGCCAATTTAATTGCAATTGAGTAAAAATAAAAGAAATAAAAATATTATTTTCTTTTATAGAATTTTTCATATAGATAATGGAAAACTTATGACCTAACCTCAACACCAACATCACAAATTGATCATTATATTTTGTTGTTTTGTTTTTTTCATCTTTACATCTATCTAGTCAAGATTAATTCAATCACCATCATCATCATCATCATCATCATCGACTTTAAGCAGAGACTTTAAATTTATAGAGGATATGAAATGAAGATGTTGGTTTGGCATATTGTTTTTACTCGTTTTTTTTCCTACCAAATGCGTTAATTTGATTTTTGTGGCTAAAAGAAAATGGGATTTTTGTTTTCCAATTTAGTAATAATGCGTTTTTTCTTCTATCTGCCATAAAGAAAAATAAATATAGAAATATTTTCTATATTGCTTTTGTAATTTAGTGTGGTATATGCCAAGTTTATAGAACGATTAACGGTTCAAAAGCTATATGCATGTAAACATTTATATGTTTTTATTTTCATACAATTTGTTTTAATAAAATTTAATGTATTGTAATCATTTTCTATGGAAAATACAACAAAGTTGTTAAATAAGTTCATTTGGGTTATTGAAACTTTGTTATATAAAAAGCTTTTATATTTTGTATTAACTTTTTTGCTACGCTTTTTGTTTTAAAACGAAATAAAAAAGCTTTTTAATATACCAAAAGCTAAACGTGAAAAGCTTTTAGATTTTATATGTCATAAATAGAAATTAATGTTAATATAATTAAAAAAAAGCTTTTGATTTCGTAAAAAAAACTTTTAAAGTTTTTAATTCTATCAGTAATTTTTTATGAAAAAGCTTTAAGTTTTAAGCTTTATAATTTTATTTAAGTTCTTAATATAAAAGGCTTTTTGATAGATTGACAGCTTACAAGTTTTTGAATGAATGAAATAAAAATGTTTAACTTAAGATTTTAAGTGAAAAGCTTTTAGTGTTACGCGTCAAGCTTTTTTTATATTTAGGCAAGATTTTTCCAATTACTATTTAAGTAGAAGAAGTTTTTTCGTAATTTTTAAGCTTTGTATGCTGAAAGCTTTCATGTTTTTAATTAATGAAATGAAAATTGTTATTCTAAAAAATTTAAGCAGAATTTTTTTTAAGTTTTTTTTATATTACAAAGCTTTTTATAATTTAAAATTTGTATAAAATAAAAGTTCACACAAAAAGCTTTTATATTAAACAAAAATTTTTTGAAACAAATGCTTTTAACGCAGAAAGTTTTATGGTTTCGTAAGTCAATAGTTTTTAAATTTTACTAAAGTTCTCAAATTAAAAGCTTTACATGCTGAAAGCTTTCATGTTTTAAATGAATATCATGAAAATTTGTACTTTAAGCTGTTAAAGCGGAAAATTTTTTACTTTTTAACTATCAAAATCTTGTAAACAGAACTTATTTTTTTTCTCTTTGATATTGTAAATAAAAGCTTTATTTATATTATAAAACTTTTATAAAATAAAAGCTTATTCAAAAAAACGTTCATATTGAAACAAAACTATTGCAAACCAAAGCTTCTAATATAGAAAGCTTTCATGTGTTGTAGAGTAATAATCATGTCTAATTACTTCAAATTACAAATATGAAAGCTTTTACATTGAACTTATTTCTTCAGTGAATTGAAAGCTTATACAAAAAGCTTCAATATTTTTTGATATTTTAAATAAAAGCTTTATTTATAATATAAAACTTTTATAAAATAAAAGCTTACTAAAAAAAACTTTCATATTGAAACAAAACTATTGCAAACCAAAGCTTCTAATGTAGAAAGCTTTCATGTTTTGTAGAGTAGTACATAATCATGTCTAATTACTTCAAATTTCACACACAATATAAAAGCTTTTATATTCAATTTATTTCTTTAGTGAAGCTTTTATGTTTACTATGAGTATTTAAACGAATACTTATATCATTTATTATTGATTTTATATATACAGCTTTTTAAGCTTTATTTGCAATATAGAAAACACTTCCTGATAAAAGCTTTCAAGGTTTTTTTAATATTTTGATGACTGAAAATCTTTTAATGAAACAAAATTGATATATTTTTGAAATCTTATGCCAATCTTATGCCAATAATGAAACAAAATTGATATATTTTTGAAATCTTATGCCAAAACATTTATTTTCTTTTAACTTCAAAACCAAAAAAATAAAAATATTATTAGAAGTGAAGTAATTTTACCCGCTATGAAACCCCGCACCCACAAAACTGTCACTAACCATTTCTTAAGTAATAAATCATAAAGTAATTTTAGATAAAAAAGAATCTTTTTCATGTCAAAAAGGTTTTTATTTCCTTTTATATTTTTATGCTCCGTGTTCTATTATATTACATTTTTTTACAGGTTTATGAGTACATTAGCTGGTAAAGTAGTTTCGTTTGGTTTCTATTTTTCAAAAGGGTCTTTTTCGTATTACTTTTATATATTTATAGAAAAGAAACAAAACAAAAAAATAGAAATATATCACAATTTAATAAAGTCTCTGGGGATGCAACACGTGAACATATTAAATGAAGTTTTATTGAGATAAAGTAACAAAATAAAAAGAAACTGAAATTATGACAAAGAAAAAGAGGGTGACTTTTATTAACTAAAGATGTTACCTTTTTTGGCAAACAATGTAACAAAGTTGCGAAAATAAAATTCAAAGATTTATTAAACTAAAAATTTTATGTTGTAATTTTTGCAAAAATTTAAAAACCATTTAGATAAAAGCTCTTTTAAAGCTTTTAAAGTGAATGATGTTTCTTTGCTGCAATAATTCCTGATTGCCTCAAACAAGTGCAAGCAGCAATATGTTCTGGCTGCAATATATATTCTACTCAAATTGCCAACAATATTCTTACAAAACAAATAGAAAAATATCTGCACAAAAATGCAAATATTTATTCAAGATCTCGTCAAAAAAAAAAAAAAAACCCAGTCAGTCATGGTGGTCCATTGAATATTCAATACTTGTCGAACAAACACACAATAATAGGCTTTCTCAAGCCAAAAGAAAACATCAATATTTTCTATTATCTGCAACATGTTAAAGGGGGGGTAAATAATGGACAAAAATAGGACTACAACTGTTCTACTTAAAAAGGTATTTTTTTTTTGTCGAATGTTTGTAGTTGCCAAAGAAATGCATAAAGAATGAGAAAAACTGAAAACATGACAACACGCATGAGCTTTGTATGAACAAAAAAGAAATTACAATAGCAACAATAAATTGTAAATTTTTTCTTTAAAAACAGTCATTGATGAGAAATTGCTAGGTACTTTTGCTAATGGGAAAAAATTTAAAAGAAAAAGAAATGTTTTAGGTTAATAGAGACCTAAAAAGCTGTTACAGTTGGCACTAAACTTTAGGCCTTGTTGTAGTATCGGTTAAGCTTTAACTACAGGCTTTTATTAAGTTTTATTAAGTTCGAATAAAGCTTTAGATGTATTGTTTGTTATATCTCATAAAATAAGCTTTTATGTTAAGCTTTAATTGGGATCTCTTCTTAGTTCTATTTAAGCTTTATTCTAAGCTTTTTTATAATCTCTGTTAAGTTTTAATTGTTAAAAGCTTTTGCCGGTGCAATTAAGCTTCTTTATAGTTTTTATAAAGCTTTAGTTGTTGGTCAGTTGTAGCTCTAATTAAAAGTTCTATCTTAAAGCTTTTTAAAGTTTAAGTTTAAGCTTTAAGGTGCACAACGATTAAGTTCGAATTGTAGATGTTTTTGTAGTAACAATTTAACTTTGTAAGTCATTGTTAAGCTTAATATATATTTTTGTTTATGTTTTGTAGTAGCAGTAATGTTGGAATATTAAAGCTTTTTTAAAAGCTCCATTTAAGTTTTTATTATAAATCGTTTTGTATGTCCTATTAAGTTAAATCCCTTTTTTGAATAGTTTTCAGTAAACTTTCATCGTAAGCTTTTAAAGCTTTAAGCTTAACTTATTTGTTAAGCTTTCATTATAAATTTTTTAAAAAGCTCCAGTAAATTTTTTGTCTTAAGTCATTTTGTAAGCCCTATTAAGTTATATATCATTTATATAGAGTTTTTAGTCGCAATTAAGCT